AGTACAAGTTGGTTAAATATAAGTAAAATTAATATCTATAATCAAGAATAATTAATTTCTGAATAAAGAACAAGAAAGTTACAACCCAATTCTTTTCTCTAATTAAAAAAAAAGAAACTTGATTTTTTTATAATAATTACTATATTCTACTTTATTTTAATGGTTGACATGCTTAATGCAAGTGAGAAACTATCAGCCAATATTATATAACACAAACTAAATTGCTTATAATAATTTTAGACAATCTTAATTATAATATGCATACATATTTTTCAAAAGTTTTAAATAAATTAAATAATTATCTTTTTTGAATTAGTTATTAATTGAAAGTTAAAAAGAGATAGTTTAACATTAATTACTATTTTATTCAATTATTTCAATCACTAGTCAATTATATTAATTACATTAAGAGATATGCTTAAGAGTAACTTGAATTACTTGTATCCAACAGGATAAGCAGGTATAAATATTAATAACAATAAATATATTAAAATTTAAAAACTAGTTTTATAATTAAAGTATTAAAAAAAATTTATATATAAAAATCTGTAAAGAATCTTTATGATTATCAAATATAATTATAATTAAAATAAATATAATAAATATTTAAACAATGCATAGTAACAATTAAACAGTTATATTCTTCATAATTTTGAATCCTTTATTAAAAAAATGTCTTGTTATTATCGATTAACTTTTTATATTGAAGTATTTGATTAAAAGACAAATGATTTTAACAAATATGCAATATGTTTAGCTTGTCTTGAAATAAAAGGTCATTCTTATGCTTTTGAAAAGCAATTTACTAATACTAAAAAATATTGTAAAGATCATTTTAAAAAATGTAAATTTTTTCAACAAAAATATAGAATAAATGAAGTATAAGATATTATAGATAATACAGACAGTGAAGCAACTATGCAAAAGTGTCAAAAAAAAGATTCTGTATATATAAAGGTAATAATAATAAATCATCAAATTATGCATCAAGTTCAGTATCTATTGTATCTAAATCCTCAACAAATAATAGACCATTAGATAATTTTGCTTATCATTAATTTACTGGAAATAATCTTGATAAATTTAATTATCTGCTATTAAAAGCAATAATTTCAAATAAATAAAGTTTTCATTAAGTTCAAAATCCAGATACTATCACATTATTTGAATTTATTAATTCTTCATGTAAGTTTTCTGAACTATGAAAATTAGGTGGTAAAATTTTAAGTTTGTTTTAAATCAAATGGTTGTGAATATTAAAAACAAGTTCTAAAAAGATTTTTATGATGTTATTCTTATTATGGATGGTTGGACAAATATAATTAATTAATCAAATATAGGAAATGTTTTATTTACAAGTTCTAGTAAAGTTTTGGTTTGACAAGCAATTGACATTAGTGATGAAAGAGCATGTACAGAAGAAGTAAAAAATAAAATTAATGAAATTATAAAATATGTAATAAATAAAAGAATAAAAATAGTAGCAATTGTAACTAATAGTCATTCATTATATGTTACAACAAGAAAACAGCTTCAAGTTGAAAACCCATAAATTATATATTTATTATGTTTTGCACATCAAACCAATTTATGTATTGGTGAAATTTTTAAAGAATCGAATATATTTAAAACTACTGTATTAGAACCTACACATATTGTAGTATACTTTAAAAATAAACAATATGCTTATTTTACTAGAAAACTTCATAATATTCAAATGCAAACATATAATAAACTACAGACTTTGATTATTCCTGATAATACATGTTGGAATAGTTATTATTACTGTTTTAGAAGTTTTTTGTGAACTAAAAAAGCTTTAAAAGTAATTCCTATTTACTATATATTTTTATTATAATTTTAAGTATTTATTTAATTATTATTTAAGACACTTATAGTACAATATGAACCTCAAACTAATAAAGAAATTGAAATTAAAATAATTTGGTATTACCTAATTATATTTGTGATTCAATTAATATTTCTAAATTTTAGCAAAATATAGTAGCTATTAAGCAAATTCTTTTACCATATTATGCTTGTTTAAATATTTTACAAAGAGATAAAGCATGTCTTTAATTCTTTTGGTTATTTTTATCAATTCTTATCTGAACTTTCAGATTTACAATTTAGTACACAATTATATAATCATTTAGAAAAGTAATAACAACAATGAAAATAACTAACAATTATTTATCTTAGATTTTTCATCCTAAATATTGGTTTAATAAATTTAATGATCATTTACTATATTTAAATTGAGTTGATTTAAGTAAATATTTACAATACTATTATATTACTTAAACTGAAGTTGAGCCAAAAAATATTTTATAAAAATTTGATAACTATTGAATTAAAAAATTTCTATTTAATAATAAATCATTTGAACAGTTTGAATAAAATGTATTTGGTTATTGGAATTGGTGCTTAGAAAATATAAAAGAATTATAAAAAAAAAAACTCTTTCTGCAAATCCATTGCACAAAAATTAACTAAAAAACTCGTTCGTAAAAAATACTTATAACTATTTATTTTATTAAGACAACCTGCCTTGGGCTCTTAAGGAAAGTTGTTCAGCTCATCATTTTACATATATTCTGAAAATATTAAGCTTTTACATTTCAAACTCATCGAGAAAACTG